GAGAAGGTTCTGGAGAAGAGAGATGTAAGGTCTGGCTAGGGGGAAATTAGAAAGAATGCATTCCAGGAGGAAACCCTGTGAGCAAGAGCTTAGAGAACAACTGTGGTTTTGAGAGGGCAGAGTAAATAGAAATGGGTCTTATTATATACTTTATGTTGAGGAGCAAAGGCAAGTGGACCTGGATTCAAAGGCCAGAGCCCAGTTGCAGACGGATTGGCAGGCTGCAATGTTGGGTTAGTCCTGTGGGGGGAGTAGTTGGAGGTGTTGAGCAAGGGAGGGCTGAAACGAAAGTAGTCTCGTAGTGTTTTGACAGAGGTGTTCAAGATGGCTTAGATGGGAGAAAGAAGGATGAAATCAAAGCAACCAATTGAAAGACTTTAGATGTTATGTTACAGTGACCTGCGTGTAGGGGAAAGCCTGAAGTACAATTGGTAGCAAACAGAAGAAGAAAGGAGCTGATTTGCAGTAGAGAAGTAACCAGTGGGGCTTTGAAGACTGATATTACTTGCACATTAAGAAATTACTTGTGCCCCAATCCCAACTATGTGGACAGCCATCCCTCTCCTCAGAAGAATTTACTTCAGAGGACAGCACTGACGCTACAGCTCAGGGAGAGGGACATGTCTGATCAGAGCACACGGAAGCAAATGAAGGGGGAAGAAGAGAGAGTGGAGCACATCCTAGCCCACCAAGCCTTGAGGACGATATTCCCACTCAGAACAGCCAATGCACAGAGAAGACCATATGGCCGGCCCCATTGTGAGACACAGCATCCCTCACTGACCCATAGCCCTACAGGGGACAACACTGGAGACACAGTGTGGGAATTGCGCCCCATCTGACCCCACCACAACGAGGCAAAACACTAAGGGCATGCAACAGAACAGCTAGGGGAGCAGAGCAAGGAAGCCCCGAGGGAGCACCAAAAATAGACTTGGCCAGGGCGTGGGACCCCATCAGACTCAACCAGAAAACACTCCTGAAGCTCAGCAAACAAACCTGGAACTGTTTACAGGCTTTTCTTTTTTTTGTCATTGTTTTTTTTTTTGTCATTTTGGTTTCTTTTGTTGCTTTGTTTTGCTCTGTCTTTTTTGAGTGCATATTATTATATCTGCAGCCCTATCTAGATAAGATAGGCTGGATAAACAATCTGGAGGAGAAAACAATGGGACTGATGGTTCTGGGGGGACATGGGAGACAGGGAGGTGGGGGAAAGGAAGTGGTGTTAACCAACCCAGGGAAAAGGGAACAACAAGTGATCCAAATTCAGTGGCAAGGAGAGTGTAAGAGGCCTGGTAGGACTTGATCAAGGGCAATGTAACCAAGAGGAATTACTGAAACCCAGATGAAGGCTGAGTGTGAACAAGAGGAAAGTAAAAGGAAATAGAGGAAAGAACTAGGAGGTCAAGGGCATTTATAGAGGTCTAAATACAGGCATGTACATATGGAAATATATTTTTATATAATGATGGGAAAATAGATCTTTGTGCATATATTTATAGGCTTAGTATAAAGGTAGCAGATGGACATTGGGCCTCCACTCAAGTACTCCCTCAGTGCAAGAACACTTTGTTCTATTAACCTGGCATTCTATGATGCTTACCTTCTGGACACGATCACTGAAGACAAATGTGTGCATAAACAAATGTGAAGAAAGCTGATGGTGCCTGGCGATCAAAAGATATAGCATCTGGGGTCTTAAAGGCTTGAAGGTAAACTGGCCATTTAGCTGAGAAGCAACAAAGTCCACCTGGAAGAAGCACACTAGCCTGTGTGATCATGAGGTGTTGAAGGGATCAGGTATCAGACATCAAAGAACAAAAAATTATATCATTGTGAATGAGGGGGAGTGCAAATTGGGGACCCAAAGCCCATCTGTAGGCAACTGGACATCCCCTTACAGAAGCATCACGGGGAGGAGATGAACCAGTCAGGGTGCAGTGTAGCAACGATGAAACATACAACTTTCCTCTAGTTCTTAAATGCTTCCTCCTCCCCCACTTATCATGATCCCAATCCTACCTTACAAATCCAGCTAGATCAGAGGATGTACACTGTTACAGATAGGAACTGGAAACAAGAAATCCAGGACCGATGATCTCTTCAGGACCAGTGGTGTGCAGTGGCCATACTGGGAGGGTGGAGGGACGGAGGGCTGGAAAGGGGGAACCAATTATAAGGATCTACATATAACCTCCTCCCTGGGGGACGGTCAACAGAAAAGTGGGTGAAGGGTACTGTCGGACAGTGTAAGATATGACAAAATAATAATAATTTATAAGTTATCAAGGATTCATGAGGGAAGGGGGAGTGGGGAGGGAGGGGAAAAATGAGGAGTTGATACCAAGGGCTCAAGCAGAAAGCAAATGTTTTGAGAATGATGATGGCAACAAATGTACAAATGTGCTTGACACACAATGCATGTATGTGTGGATTGTGATAAGAGTTGTAACGAGCCCCCAATAAAATGATTTTTTTAAAATAATAAAATTAAATTTGGGGGTTTATCCCTAACTGAATACATTAATCACAGAAAAAAAAAAGATATTACTTGTACTTTAAAGATCTAAGACAGTCAGATTTGGAAGGATGGTGGCCCTAAGGCAGAAATGGAAGTGGTAAGGACAACCTACCATTGCAAGTTTACTGTGTACAGGCAACATTAGATAATGGTAGACAACTTTTGGAAAAAGTGAAAATATGACCTCAGGATTCTACCATTTCACTGACACCAGTGTCCTTCCTTTTCCTGTATCATCATCCACATGCCCACCTATCTACAATGTACATGCTGTTGTGTATTATTTAAACTAGTCTTATTATTTTAATATAATTGGATATTCTTATTAGTACTTTCCTCTTAGTCTTATATATCCCCCTATCTATTCTGTGACTCAGAATACAACCAGAGCTGTCTGAAACTAGAGGTGCTGTAGGGGGTGTTCATTCTTGTGAATCTAGAGCATTGGAAAAGCTTAAAATGCTTACTGATTGAAAACATTATTGATTACAAACATTAATTCCCATAATTTTCTGTATGGAAGTTGCTACAAGAAGCATTTGCATGACAGGGTTGTTGGGTTTGTTTGTTTTAGCTTCTGTTCACTTGTTTCCTTGTGTTCACAGACTCAAATTCCTGAGTAAAAGGATTTCAGACCCATTTTGCAGGACATCTAGAAGGCAGTGTAAGAAGGAGGAGTTAGCAGGCGTCCTCACACTACGGCCCACGGGCCACATGCGGCCCACCGAGGACATTTATCCAGCCCGCTGGGTGTTTTTGCCCCATTTGATTTTTTACTTCAAAATAAGATATGTGCAGTGTGCATAGGACTTTGCTCATAGATTTTTTTAAACTATAGCCCAGCCCTCCAACAGGTCTGAGGGTCAGTGAACTGGCCCCCTGTTTAAAAAGTTCGAGGACCCCTGCGTTAGAGGAACACACTGGAAGACAGCGGAACGTCCGTGTGTTTCCCTTTTGTTGTTAGGTGACGTGAATTTTGACTCAAAGTGACCCCACGTGACAGAGGAGAGTTGCCCGCCAGGGTATTTATTCTCAGCTGTAATCTTGTGTGAGAACAGATTGCCAGGCAGGAAAACTCAGAAAGAGCTCTTTTGTTCTTTATCATTATATGGAGGAAGGAAGGCAGTCCCACCAGAAAATGTCGCTGGTCACTAATGAGCAGCAGGTCTCGGTTGGGATAGCTTTGCCTGAATATTCAGCCTAGAGATATATATAGGGATGCCATCGTTAAAAAGGATGGCATTGACCATCAGACAATTTGACATTGAGTGATTTAAACATGTGAGGGGTTTATTTTCTTCCTGTCAAAAGGTGTCCTGGCACTTTGGGGCAGTTATAAGGATAGCTCAGTGATACCAGTGGAAGCACAAACTCCTTCTGGTCGCCTCCTTTACCATCCGGAGCTTGTGGCTTTCATCCTCGAGGTTGTTATGTGGCTGCCACAGCTTCATCCATTGCATCCTTCTTTCAGGCAGGAAACCAGGGCAGAGCAAGGGCAGAGATGCAAGGGCTTGTCCGTGACATCACACCTTTTACAAAGCTTCCTCGAATCCCTATCCAGCAACTTTTACTTATATCAGATTGCCTGTAACTCTATCAAATGCCTACCCTAACCACAAGGGAAGAAGGTTAGAAGTTTTTAATCGGGTCCATTGCTGCTTCTAACACACTGTGCTTCAGTTAGCCAGGGAGAATGGATGTTGTTGGTGAGGCAAGCAGCATATGTAACACAGCCCCCAAATTGCAGACTGAAGATGCTCCTAGCAGCCTGTTCTTTGAGGTGCTGTGAGGCAGGCGTTGGTATTTATATTACACAGATGAAGAAAGAGAAAGATGGGAATCTTCAAGGAGCCCATGAATAGCTATGCACATGATTAATTCTTGTGCAATATAATGTTATTTTGTGCTCTAAAGGTTAGCCACCAATGTAGCATTAAATCTTAGAATGCCATGAGACTATGGTCAAAGTAAGCATTCCTGGTTACTGATGGGGGAGGAAAGGCGGGGCTGGGAAGAAGGGGAAAGAGAGGAAGGCGCTGAGCATGACCTCAAAGTTTGTCCCTCCAGGAAAGGGGCAGGTAGTAAGCCAGTCTTCTGGAATAGAGAGCAGAGCTGGAGGAGTAGCTCCATGATTCTTATGGAGGAATGCAGCCCGGACCTGCACATGCCACAAGCCCTTGGTCTATTGCAGGTCTTTAATCCACTTGGATTGCTTTAATAATATTTGGGCAGGGTTCACCATTCCTGTGTTGTGTTTGTTTAGTGCAAATACAGCCAAGAAACAGGAAACATAAGGAGGAAGTGGGATGAGTGCTGTTATATTATTGAGACTGAAATCAATGTCATGCAACAAAATGTTACGGGTTGTGAGAAGCTAAGCTATTTGTTAAATTGTCACCCAAATCACATTCCAAAAGTATCTCTGAAAATAATTATTTTTTTCTTATTCCATCTTTTATCTCTCCCTCTCTTAAACCAGGTATCAAATTGTAGTGGAAATAATCCAAGCGACAACAATTGGCAGCTTCCCCCAGCTGAGGAGGCACAAGGGTAAGACCATCCTGCTTCTCCTGTGACACACTTTAAGGTCGCTCGGTCTATTCGCAGGCTCCTCTCTCCTGTGCTTCCAGCTTTGTGTTGAAAGATGCCAGGTGTATTCAAATAAAAATTATTACAATAATGCACCAGGGAAAGTAAAAAATAGTCATAATATATACAAAGTTGTATTCATTGGAGATGTATTGCTTCTGTTTTTAAAATGAAAGATGATTTCATAATTTATTTCTTATCTTGAAACAATATTCATCAACAGTACTCTATTAAACGTAATCTTGATAGCCATTTAAATTACCCCAATGCATTGATGCTTCATAATTTACTTAACCTGTTTTCCTTTGTTAAGCATTTGGATTGTTAATAACTTTTTTCCTTCTGCTACTCTTACGTGGTAGATGCTTTAAAATCTACTCTCTGTTCCCGCCCCCCACCCCCCACCCCCTGTTTGTTTCTCTCACCCAGGCATGAGTCTGAGGGTTATTGCAGGAATAAGAATACTCTCGACTCCTTTTGAGTTTACCCGATGGTGGCATATTCCTCAGTTCATGGAGGGGATTTAATATCTCAAGTCGCAGAATAGGTCTTGATTCGAAGCTCAGAGGCAAACATTACTTCCACCTTGCAGACTAGACTTGCTGTGATTACTTGTCAGGGAGCAGAGTCCTAAAAGAACAGGGAAGAGTTGGCCAGAGACTTTTACCTGGTACTTGCAAGTGTCTAACTGGCACACAGAGGCAAAAGGAAGCTTATAAGAGTTAGACGCTTTCCTTGAGTTACTGACAGAAGACAGGGGCTGTGTAAATAAAAAAGAGAGAGAGAAATGCAGATATACGCTTTGAAGAGACACCAATTCAGAATCTCAACTCACAAGGAGGAAAATTGTGCAATTGTGTTCATTTAACAAATGTTTACCAAGCACTTACTTAGTAGGTGAAAAGGATGTCACAGTGAACTTAATACAGTTCTGTGGCCTCTGGTTCGTCACTAGCCTGAGAAGTAGTCAAATAATAAACCCCATGTTGGGGTGCTGTGAGCCTGCTGGTGGTTAGCTGATTCGTACTCACAACCAACCTTTGTGTATCAGAGTGGAACTGTGTCATAGGGTTGTCAAGGCTGACTTTCCAGAAGTAGGTACAAACCAGACTCATGGGTCTGCCCCTGTGGATTTCCTAGGGTGTAAATCTTTATGGGAACAGAAAGCCTCATCTTTCTCCCACATAGCGGCTGGTGTTTTTGAACTGCTGACCTTGTGATTAACAGCTGAAGGCAGGACTATATCCTGAGATGCCTGTAGGTGGGTTTGAATCCACAGCCTAGCATGTAATAACCCGATGCTTAACCGTTTGCGTCACCCAGGAACTTCTGTAATATGTGCCTTGGCATAAAATGAAGTATCAGATGGGAGTGGGAAGGTAGGGAATGCTAGTTCAGCTAGAAGGGAGGCATATTTTGCATTCCCAGATGGGGACCTGTAAGTAAAGACTTGGAGGTGGAGGTGTCTGACAAACGACCTGTGCAGAAGCCTGGGGCCAAAGTAAGCTGGGCTTGTGGGACGAGGCCAGAGTGTGACGGAAAAGCCTGAGTTTGGGAGAGAAGCCAAACGAGACCAGAAGCTAGATCACGAATCACCTTGCAAGTGACTGTAGCATCTCTGGCTTTCCCTCTGAGTGAGGAGGAAGTCTGGAGGCTTTCGGGACTAAGGAGCCACGATCAGCTGAATTCTTTCCAGAGCAGGGCCTCACCTGGTGCTCATTGTGCTTGCACAGCATTTGCTTAGCGTTCCTATTTTCAAGGGCATGCTAGAGAGTTCTTCTTGCCACCCCTCTCTTTCTGCCACCTTTTTTTTTAACATGAGTTCAGTCAGAAACACATCTTTCCTATTTTGTGTTATATTGCTACAGTCTCAATGTCAGAAGACCCTTCTTATCTCACACATACCTTTCTCCTTAAGCTGTCCTTACCACTGTCTTGGCTATTCTGGTCTCTTTCTTTTTAAACTGCCACGAGGAGAAGATCAACAAATTGAGAAATGGAGAGTGACTGCTAATGGTTTGGGGTATCTTTTTTGGGATGAGGACAGTGTTTTAGATTGTGGTGATGAGTGTACTTCTACTCTTTCTAAAACAAACAGACTTGCTGCCAGGGGCCAATGCTGACTCATAGAGACCCAGGGGTAGAAAGCCCAGTCTTTCTCCTGTCGAGCTGCTGGTGGTTTTGAACTGGTGATCATGCAGATCACAGCCCAATGTAGTGGGTGAAATGTATGGCATGTGAATTATATCCCAATAATGGTGCTGCAGTTGAGCCCTCAATGAAAGATTCATAGTTTAGACCCACCAGCTGCTCCGTGGATGTGGCTGTCTGTAAACATGGCACCTTGGAAACCCTGTGGGGCAGTTCTCTTCCGTCCCATAGGGTCCTACCCTATGAATTGGAATTGAGTTGGTGGTGGTGATTTGGTTTTAAAGCTATTTTTTACAAAAGAATGAGGAAATGGAGATGGAAAGAAATCAAATCCATTCAAGGCAAAGCTTATTTAAGCATTTCAAGGATATAGAGTCCAGAGCACCAGGAAGGATCCCAGGTGATGTAATGGATTAAACATTGAACTGCTACCCATAAGGGCAGTAGTTCGAAACTACCACCCACTCCGTGGGTGAAAGATGAAGCTTTTTACTCCCTTGAAGCTTTACAATCTGTGAGCCCACAGGGCCAGTTCTGCTCTACCCTGTAGGGTCACTGTGGGTCAGATTTTACTCCATATCTGTAAGTTTGGTTTTAGTTTTAGGGTTTTTTTGGGGGGTGGGGTGGGGGTGGTGTGTGTCCAGAACAGTGTGTGTGTGTGTGAGAGAGAGAGAGAGAGAATCCAGAGCATTGCTGTTCAATATAACTTTCTGGGGAGAGAGAGAGAGAGAGAGAGAATCCAGAGCATTGCTGTTCAATATAACTTTCTGGGGAGAGAGAGAGAGAGAGAGAATCCAGAGCATTGCTGTTCAATATAACTTTCTGTGGTGTTGGAAGTACTTTATACCTGTGCTGTCAAATATGATAGCCACTAACTACATGTAGATATTGACTGAGCCTTTGGAAAATCATTAGTATGATTGAGAAGCTTAATTTCTAGTTTTTAAAGTTGTCTGTGATTAGCGGCTACTGAACTGGGCGATGCAAGAGAGTATTTAGGAATTTCTTGGCCTCTTTATTCAGTGACTAAATGAAACAGCATGTCCAAGTACCTAGCATAATAGAGGCAAAAGCCATTAATTAGTAAAGCTGGAATTGAATAATAAGTAAACTATTTTTATGCGAAATTCAGCATTATGCAAAAATGGAAGACAACCATCCCATATCACAAAGTGGGGGGTTACTACATTATTAATTACATAACTGCCAAATTTAGCTGTGTCCTTAGCTATGTCAAACCACTGAGGATTATGGCCCAACCGGTTGACACATAACCTTAACCATCTTGCTTTACAACTTGGTCTTTATAATTCCTAGACATATATCGTTAATGTACAAAATATGAGGGGCTTCCAAAAAAGCTTATGGAAAAGTGGAATGAAAAGATAATGGGATTTTCCCACATTTTTAAAGCCCCTTCATGGTCAGATAGTAGGTATTTAACTATTGTGGGAATGCGAAAGGTTGGCCAGTGGGATAGTTAATAAATGAAGACTAGGTGCAGCTGCCTATATACTTGTCTGTAAATCAACCCAATACTAAGAAATTTCAGAAAGTTTGTGGGGAAATTCTGCTGTTTTGGGGTGAGCTTTATGAAGTCCCATCATCTCTGTGTAAAGCTGGTACTCTGTTCCCAACTGTCAGAGCATAGCAATGTGTTAACAGTCTTGAGTGACTTCCTCTACTTCCTTCTACCATCTGCTTTCCCACTTTTCAATTCTGATTTTAAAGCATACTATGTATGGTAGTGTTGTGATTATGTATTGGGCTGCAATCCACAAGGTTGTCAGTTCGAAACCACCAGCTGCCCCAACGGAGAACTATGGAGCTTTCTATTTTGTTCTCTCTCAACGTTGTTTTGGTTATTTGGACCTCTTCTCATTCAATATAGTGCTGAGGATTGATATTTTTATTTCTATAAGAAGGCTGTTTAAATATTTGCCAGGATTGAATTGAATCAGTTTGTATTGAAATCTGTATTAAGCCTTTCAACTTATAACCATGGAACATGTTTCCACTTACATATTTTTTTTCATCTCATTCTTGCCAGTCCCCTCACAGTACTGCCACACATCCTACTTCCTCCCTGTTTCCTGACTCTGGTCCTGTTTATTTCATAATCCTCTGAACTTGGTCCTTGGGTACATGCTGCCCTTTTTTACTTTAATGGTTGATTATTGTAAGATGTGTGTACCTCACTAGTGTTATTGTCTAGTGTCTGGCTGCAAATTGAGCAATGGGAAGTGAGTTTGGTTCCAGGCCTGAAGAGTTACTAAGGGCCATGCACTTGAGGGTTCTACGAGTTTCTCTCAGACCAGTAAGCCTGGTCTCTTTATGATTTTGAGTTTTGTTCTGCATCCCCCACCCCACCCCCTGCATTCACATTCAGGGACCTTCTGATAGGATCTTTTTCAGATCAGTTGGTAAGGGTTCTTCTGTTCTCAGGGTTGTTGAGACTGGTATTTTTGTGGTCCACTCGTCCATTGTACTAATGTGTCGTTTCTACATGCCTTTCCACTTTCATTACTTTTCCTTCCTCTGGATGGGGAGAAACCAGTCGTTGCACCTTAGATGGTTGTTCATGAGCTTTTACGACTCCAGTCACTGTCCACCAACCTGGGCTATTCGACTTTTGTGTTTGGGAGCTGTGTTATACTAATTGACTTTGGTGTTCCCTGAGACAGTGACCCTGATCTCCCAAGCCCAGTGACTATTCCCTTAGGTGCTTGGCTCCGTCTAAGATACATTTTCATAACATTACCCCCTGTATGCTCTGCCACATTCATGGATATGTTTGCAGCCAAACATAT